ACCGACGTTCTTCGCTCTGGGATGTTGCCGCTACTGTGCCGCAAGAGCGGCCCGAGAATGGCTCCGAGGTGCATTGGAGCAACCCTTACGGGCCCGACCCGCCAGCGGAGGTGGCACCTCCTGCTGCGGAGCCGGTGATTGAAGATGCTTTCCAGAAGGCGACCAAGCTCTCTGCAATTTCGAGCTGTCGCGAGGAAGGTTTCGGGCCTGGTAGCTCGTTTGCGGATGATAAGTCGGATCCTTGCAGCTCCACTCCCCCAGTGGAGGAGCCGGCTTTCGCAGCCTTGGCAAACCTGCGCGTGTATGCAGAAATGCCGGGCGCACCAGCGTCTTTTACATTGTCCGAGTACTACAGCAGACAAGGACCCCTGTCGCCGTGCTCCCCGGCGCCAACGGAAAACTACGGCGGACGAGAGGCGCGATTTTCGCAAGCACTTACTGAGTACAACTACGGCAGACAGGGGCTGTCATCTCCTGCGCCCACAGAGTATATCTTCGACCGACAGGAATGGTCACCAGCGTCCACGCAAATCGGAGCTCCATTGCCCGAACACGGCGGACAGGGCTTGGCAGGAGGTTTCAGCCCCAGATTCCCACAGGGAGTGCCAAGCAAGCCTGACGATTTGCTGCGGCAGCACAATGACTGTCCACCTGGGATGCCACCTCCGGATGACAGCACTGCCCACCGGAATTGGCCTCACTTCTTTCAGGACCGAAATGAAATCAGCGAGCACTGCCTTGAGCAGTGTTCATCTCAATGGTGCGGACTATTTACCAGCTGTTGCTAGGTCCCTCAAGTATGTTTTGCTCTTTATATTTGGGTGTCTCCCTCTCAACAGGGAATTAACAACAGGTAAGAGCCTAATCATATAATAAGAGAATACTGCGGAACCTAGGCTGCCCTGCATCAGCACCAGAAACCTGCAGCCACTGCAAAAAGGCCCTGGGATCCTTTTTCGATCATTATTGCCCGAAGCTTGGTCAGCGTTAGGATGACAGGATCCTACTTGCCCATCGTGGTTTTGGATTTTCCGATAGTTTACGGGAGCCCATACGCAGGTTCTGTGTGTTCCTTCTACTTTCTAACAGAGACCAAGGAAGTGCTCCAGAGCCGTGTGTGTGAACTGCCTGCAAAAAAAGAACGGCCAGACTTTCCGCTGCAGCTGTGGCCTCGAGCCGAAGATCGATAGCACACATTGGATGATCGGAGCATACAACTCCGTCATGAGCGCGTTGGATTTCATCACCGGCGCAAAGCCTGCCCGAGTGTCCGAGGGCTACACTGCCATGCCCTCGCGGAGCGACGCACATTCTGTGCCAAGTCCTCTGCTGGAACTTCCACCGGCTCCAAGCAATGCATTGCCACAGCACCGGACGCTCTGTCCGGCTACTACCACGGAGATGCTTCCTCCCTCTGCACCTCTGCCGGCACCGCCGTCATTGCCGTCCCTTTTGGGCCATCGGCGTCGTGCCTCCCACGTCGCTGACGTCTTCAAGACGCATCTGCCGGGAGAAATGCCCTGCAGCCCGATGTCCCGATGACGAGAAAGTGCAGGGTCAATTGTCAAAAAGAGGCCACACGCAGGAGTTTCGATGAGCTCACGCGGAGAGGGTTCTTGGGTCAACCCCCGCAGCCGAGACCTTGGTCGCCACTGCAGCCGGCGCTGACGGCCCTGACGCAGAGCTGCGAGGCTGAGGGGTTTCAGGTTGAAGGGTCGGGTTTTTTTCGGCCTTTTTGCGGTCTCCGGGGATGCTTGATAGAAAGGTTCAGTTTGAGGCTTTCTAGGGGTTGATTGCCTATACACGGCGGCAGAATCTTAGTGGCAAAGGAAGCCTCGAGGGATTTGGGTTATGGAGGCTTTGGTCTTCTTTCGTCGCCTCCCAGGACCCCGAAAGGGTACCTTCGGTTGAGCTGTATTTCGGCTGTAGCTACGTCTAGGAGCACGGGATTCACGGGTTTGGGATTTGGGGCCTCTGGAGTTCTAGGATTTTTGAGTTTGATGGGTTTGAGGGCTTCTGCGATGCCGAAGGGGATTCAGGGCATGTTGCTGTGGTATGTAGGGCGTTGAACTAAGTTTGTGCCTCTGTGGGAAGAGGGCAGGGCGTGAGCGTAGGGCTGTACGGATTTGGGACGTCTGTAAATGCCGTAGTTTTGAATTTGGGGTTCAGGCTTTCAGGTTCGGGTATACCTGACAAGACTTCCAAGCCTCATAGAGGGAGTTCGAGCAGCTTGCAGTGTTAGGCCTCCGGAGTTCGGTTCTAAATAGGGTAATTTAGATCGAGAGTTTAGGGTTTCATTTTGGGGTCTCGGGTGGTTTGTCCTTCCGGAGGCCGGCTACAGGGAATAAGCAGCCCCACAACGCGCATGTTGGCCAGAGAAGCACTCGCTGAGAGTAGGGCTGATCAAGTTCACTCGCGTGGAAGTTAGGTGCCCAAGCACTAAACGAGCCAAACCCTGAACCTGGTGCAAAACCCCACCATCAAAAAGGTTTCTGTATGTTACTGAGTAGTTCTCTAAAGTAGGTCCCCAATATAGTACGGGACCCTTAAAAAAAGAGGACCCTGAAAGAGGACCCGACTTTAAATTTAGAGGACTATACCCAAGTAGAAACCCTCATAGTGCCCTCCTAGAAGCCCTATAGAGAAACTCCTAAAGATCCCGAAACTTATAGTGCCCTTACAGAAAGTCTTTAACGTGTCTACCTAAAGCTTTTAGGGTTTAGGGTTTAGGTTTTGAGGGTTTAGGGGGTGTAAGGGTTATTAAGTCTAAGGCTAAGAGCTTTATAAGGTTTCTATAGACCCTAAACCCTACAAGCCTTATAGGCCCTAGAAAAAGCCGCAGCAGCCCGACGTGCAGCCTGCAGAGGCAGCTCCTCCTCTGCCTTCTGCAGCATCTGGCTGCCATCGGCCGGTGAGTCCAGGATTCTGCCGCCGACCTTCGCTTTAAGGAATGACGGTACAGGGGGGTGCCGAAGAGTGAGTTTTCAGGGTGTAGGCTTGGGGCTGTTGGGTTTCGAGATTGGGCCCTCCCGCAGTGACCGAGCTCATGTGGTTTTTGTTTGCAACTTATATGCCAGTCATGCCAGCCTGTTTTGTATCAACGTAAAGAACCTCATGTTTGAAGCACTATACAGCCCGCTCAACCCTGCCAGGAGGCCTTCGTCATAGTCTTCAGCTTGACAGCCGTACCGTAAACACCCTGATTCCTTTCACCCTTCACCTACCGTCCGCCAGGATGACCCCGCTTGGGAAGCCGGGCTGCGCTCCTGCCAGGCTGAAACCGGTGTGGGGTTCAGGGTATGCCGCATAGGGACGCTTTCCGCTTTCCGTGTAGGGACTATCTGACTATCCAGGCACTTACATGACAGTTTAGCTACCACAAGGCCCTATGCCAGGATAGGAAAGGCCTCCCGGAAACCGGCAAAGAAGCGACAGACCTTCACTGGAAGAGTTCAACGCCCGCCAGCCGCAAGCTTGTTCAGAAAGATCTTGAATCCTGCGCTGGCCATGGCTCAAATTGCACCGGACCGCTGCCGCAGCCACGTCAGCGAACATTGCCTGGAGCACTGCTCATCTCAATGGTGCGGACTGTTCAACAGCTGCTGCTAGGTACCCCAGCACTACCCTTTTGCCCTGTGTATTTTGGGGTCCTCTCGTTAAAGCTGAGTGTATATTCCCAAGAGCACTTAGTAGAGCAAGGAGATGCTGCGGAACCCAGGTTCCCATCAGTCAGCACTGCAAGCAGGCCCTGGGGTCCTTCTTTGAGCATCATTGCCCGAAGCTTGGTCAGCGTTGGGGCCGTTATAGTCGTTGTGCTTTGAATTTCCTCTTATAGGTTGAGGGACCCCAGAAGAGTCTGGTTCGCCTTTCCCTCCGGTGATATCGGGACCAAGGACGTGCTCCAGAGCCGTTTGCGTGAACTGCCAGTTCACACAAACGGCTCTGGAGCACGTCCTTGGGCCTTGAATTGGGAAACCGAAGGACCAGACCTTCCGTTGCAGCTGTGGAGATGAGCCGAATCTTCGGCTCATCACCACATGCAGCGGAAGGTCTGGTCCTGAGCCGAAGATGGAGAGCACGCTCTGGATGCTTGGAGTCTACAAGTCCGTAGTGAGTGCTTTGGATTTTGATCACCGGTGCAACGCCTGCCGGTGCGCCCGACGGCTACGCCGCGCTGCAGACGCGGAGTCAAGCACATTCTGCGTCCATTCCTTTGTTGGAGCTTCCTGAGGCTACGACATGGGACCAGGGCATGCGTGCAAGCAGAAAGGAGATGCTTGTCCCCCCTGCGCCGCCTCTGCTACCGCAGTCATTGCCGTCGCTCCGTGGCCGTCGGCATCGCGTCTCCCAGGGTGCAGAAGTCTTCAAGACGCGTTTGCTTGGGGAAATGCCCTGCAGCCCAATGGCCGGATGACGCGGGAGTAAAAAAAAAGACGCTGCATGGGAGGCTCTAGCAGCTCATGCAGAGCAACCCCCTTTGCAGCAACAGTCTTAGTCTTGCAGTCCCTGTTCCTTACGAGGCCTTGGTCCTGCTGCAGCCCACGCTGGCAGCACTGACGCAGCGCTACGAGGCTGAGGGGTTTTAGGTTGGAGGTGTTCAGGTTTCTGGGGGTTACAAGGGCTTGGGGATGTTTGAATTTCAATAAGAACGTTTTAGGACGATGTAGGGTTTCCGGGTTGCAACCGTTTAGGACGGTTTCAGGGCTATCAGTCATAAGATTCAGATGTTCATCACGAATTGGGCGTTTCAGGATTGCATGGGTTTCGATTCTTCCACAATGAAGGTTTGGGTGTTTTAGGGTTACAGGGGTCTTGGTTTCTTAGCCCATCTTACGCCAATAAGAGTCGCGGTATTTTGGAGTGTGTGCGCGTGTGTGTATATATATATATATTTATTTATGTATTTGTTTGTTCATACTGTTGATGATATCAACCTTGCATTACCTTCAGGACCCTAAACTGTGGGAATTAGGGGATATTCCCTTTTTTATGGGTGCTGCATTCACTGCATGCATGTAGGAGTTCAGGATTGGACTTTGTCTTCAGAGGCTCAGAGGTCTAGGGCGTAGGAGTTGAAGTTCCGGATTTAGGGTTTAGGAGCTGAAGTTCCGGATTTAGGGTTTGAGGAGTCGAAGTTTAGGCTTGCTGGGTTCAGGCGTTCAGGCCTGGGGGGGGGGGGGTATATAGGAGGAGTCAGGGCATAGGCGTGTGGCCCTCATGGCTGAAGACTCAGTTTTTTTGCCGGTGTGGTATAGGGGACAGGCCCTCAGGTCACCGATAGATGGCAAAACATCAACTCCCCAGGAGAGCTGCACATCCTTGAACCCCAAGCCTGAGCTCCTGGAAGCTTCACTCGTGAATCTACCGGCCAACCTCGCCACAGACCTCTCCTAGAAGAGGTCAGCGCAACTTCAAGCACCTTGAGAGTATCCTAGAATCCTGAACGGGCTAGGGCTCAAGCTGGGCCTCAGGGGTAGCCTAGCGTTGCTTCTTTGGTTGCTTGGGCGACTTCGATCGAAGATGCCTACACCTTCCCTTGGTGGTCGGGAGCCACCGATGCACAACGTTGCCGGAGATCCGAGGACTTCCACAACTACTGATTCCGATTTCTACACCGCCTGGTGTCGGATGTATTCGTACGAGCTCTTCACACCGAAGACCAGCGAGGTCTCCACAGTGTGGGACGCCTTCTTTCACCCACCCCCTCCTCCACCTCCTCCGCCCCGGCACCGACGTTCTTCGCTCTGGGATGTTTCGGCCACTGTGCCGCAAGAGCGGCCCGAGAATGGCTCCGAGGTGCAATGGGGCAATCCTTACGGGCCCGACCCGCCAGCGGAGGTGGCACCTCCTGCTGCGGAGTCGGTGATTGAAGATGCTTTCCAGAAGGCGACCAAGCTCTCTGCAATTTCGAGCTCATGTCGCGAGGAAGGTTTCGGGCCTGGTAGCACGTTTGCGGATGATAAGTCGGACCCATGTAGCTCCACTCCCCCAGTGGAGGAGCCGGCTTTCGCAGCCTTGGCAAACCTGCGCGTGTATGCAGAAATGCCGGGCGCACCAGAATCCTTTACATTGTCCGAGTACTACAGCAGACAAGGTCCCCTGTCGCCGTGCTCCCCGGCGCCAACGGAAATCTACGGCGGACGAGAGGCGCGATTTTCGCAAGCACTTACTGAGTACAACTACGGCAGACGGGGGCTGTCATCTCCTGCGCCCACAGAGTATTTCTTCGACCGAGAGGCATGGTCACCAGCGTCCACGCAAATCGGAGCTCCATTGCCCGAGCACGGCGGACAGGGCTTGGCAGGAGGTTTCAGCCCCAGATTCCCACCGGGAGTGCCAATCAAACCTGACGGTTTGCTGCATGAGCACAACGACTGTCCGTTTGGGATGCCACCTCCGGATGACAGCACTGCCCACCGGAATTGGCCTCACTTCTGCCAGGACCCAAATGAACTCAGCGAGAACTGCTTTGAAAAGTGCTCAGCTCACTGGTGCGGACTCTTCAGCAGCTGTTGCTAGGTCCCTCAAGTAGTTTTTGCTCTTTATATTTGGGTGTCTCCCTCTCAACAGGGAATTAACAACAGGTAAGAGCCTAATCATATAACAAGGCAATACTGCGGAACCTAGGCTGCCCTGCCACTGCATCAGCACCAGAAACCTGCAGCCGCTGCAAGCAGGCCCTGGGATCCTTTTTCGATCACCATTGCCCGAAGCTTGGTCAGCGTTAGGATGACAGGATCCTACTTGCTCATCGTGTTTTGGACTTTCCGATAGTTTAGGGGAGCCCATAAGCAGGTTCTGTGTTTTCCTTCTTCTTCCTAACAGAGACCAAGGAAGTGCTCCAGAGCCACTTGCAAGAAGTGCCTGGAGAAAATGAGCGGACAGACTTGCCGCTGCAGCTGTGGGCATGAGCTGAAGATCGAAAGTACACTTTCGCTGATCGGAGCATACAACTACGTGCTGAACGCGTTGGATTTCATCACCGGCGCAAAGCCTGCCGGCGCGGAGGGCTACACTGCCATGCCCTCGCGGAGCGACGCACATTCTGTGCCAAGTCCTCTGCTGGAACTTCCATCGACATCAAGCACTGCATTGCCTGCCACAGCACCGGACGCTTTGTCCGACTACTACTAAGGAGGTGCTTCCTCCCACTGCACCGCTGCCGGCACCACCGTCATTGCCGTCCCTCTTGGGCCATCGGCGCCGTGCCTCCCAGGTCGGTGACGTCTTCAAGACGCATCTGCCGGGAGAGATGCCCTGCAGCCCAACGGCCCGATGATGGGAAAGTGCAGGGGTCAAAAAGAGACCATGCACAGCAGCAGTTTCTGTGAGCTGATGCAGCGATGAGGTTCTTAGGTCAACCGCTCCCCTTTACAGCTTCCTGAGACGAGGCCCGGCTCCCCACGGCAGCCGGCACTGACGGCCCTGACGCGTTGCGAGGCTCAGGGGGTTGAGGGTTTTGTGTGTTTCGCCGGGTCTGGGTTCTGAATTTGTTTTGATACCAAGGGTTTACGGTTTACGCATTTGGGGCTACACCGTTTCGCCTAGAGTTTGGGGCTTCAGGATTGGAAGGGCTTGCGGGTTTAAGGATTACAAGGGCTTCGGGTCTTTGGGTTGTTTTTGACGACAAGCAAGGTGTAATTATGGGTTGAGAGTCATATGGGTTTCGTGTATCAA